TTCCCTTTTGTTCCTCACCACTTAGTTGTTTGCAACAAGATATATTTTTAGGAGGAATGCTTTAAACCTGCTTTGGGTGCTGTGCATTAAAGGATTAGACATGAAACAGTCTTTCTAGTAAGTTAAAGTGGAAAATATTTCACTACTTTTTTTTATACACTTGTGAGACAAGGCCATCGCTGGCTGGCCAGCGTTTATTGCCCGTCCCTAGTTGCCCTTGAGAAGGTGATGGTGAGCTGCCTTCATGAACCGCTGCAGTCCATGTGCTGTGGGTTGATCCCAATGCCCTTAAGAGGAAATTCCAGAACTTTGACCCAGCAACATGAAAGGAATGGTAATATATTTCAAAGTCAGGATGGTATGTGACTTGGAGGGGAAGTTGCAGATGATGGTGTTCCCTTGTACCTGCTACTACCCATTTTCCCCTACATCTCCCACTTTCTGTTATCCCAAGAATTCCAGAGAATATTAGGGAATGTTTCTCCTGTACTATAGGATCCCTGGGCCATCTTATAATTGTCTGCCATGATGGCAATATCTCACATCGTTATTACTCTTTGTTCGCCAAATGGGGCCTTATATTAACCGAGATGCTGCTTTTAAATTTCTGCAATAAAGATGCTTCTCGTAAGTTTTTGTCAGAATTTTAAACATTGTATCCAACAATCAATGGCCACGAATTTCAATCTTTCAAATTTAATGTCGATCTGTGTAGGCTGTTTTCTGGAATTGGATCTTTGGTGTTAATGCTTAAGCATTTGAATGCTGGTTCTCATCTATTCATAATCAAAGAAATTTCTTCTGACAGATGGAATGACCTTCATGTGCTCTTCCAAGCCTTCAAGTGTAGAGTCCAACACTCTATGGCCATTTTATTCTTGTATCTATTTTCTCAGATGAAAGGAAGTAGGATTTGAACTCTTCTTCCTTAAATTTTGGTACTAATCATAACCATTTCAGAAAATCAAAGCTCTGTTCTGAATCCAAATCAAAATCAGAAATTCTGGCGGCACCTCTATTATTCAATTTTAGTTTCCCCTTCTCCAATGCAAAGTTCAAATTTCTTTCCCCCTTTCCACTTCTCTCTCCACTTTTTACTTTTGAATTTCTAAATCCCCTTTTGCATGTTGATTTCCTTATCCTTTTACATCCTTGCTACGTCTACTTTGTCAGTTTCTGATTCAACTTTTGCTTACTGATTCAACAGTCAAGCGAATAACTAGAATTTGGATGCTATCAGCTTTTTTGCTTTAGGTTTTATGTTTACATCAACGGCCCTTTGTCCTTGAATATTTAATGCTTGAGATGTAGACCTCAGTGCGAGGTGAAGTTGAATTGTGTCCCTCCATAAAATTGGCATCAGGTTGGGAGCAGGTGGCTAGCCGGTGGGAAGGGCACCTACAGAATTGAACAGGAATCCTCCTCTCACCTGCAAACCTGCCGACAGGGCAGATCATAGACTTTTGCCCTTGGAGTGGCATTTGAGCCAGAGATTTTGATGCAGAGGCAGGGGGATTATCGAACCACAAGGCCCCCCTGCAACCTCAGTGAGCAACAACTGTACTAGTATATTTTAACAATTGTGCCATGCCCTACACACACACACACACAAACAAACACACACACAAACACACACACACACACACACACGCTCTCACTCCCCCTCTACCCCATCCCAATGGAGACACAGCTTATAATGTCCATTCCATTTCTATTGTCCAGAATCTGATCAAAGTTACTACCAAACTGAACCAAATCACCACCTTTGTAGAAGCCAATCATATTCTTGCCCACTGCAGCATTTTGACTCATATACCATACTTAGATTTTTAGGGATATTTGGAACCAGGACAGTTACAGCACAGGAAGTTATCGGACCCACTGTCCCATTACTAGGTTCTCTGAAAGGTCTGTCACATGTGCCATTTAAAATTAGGTGTGGAGCTGGATGAACACAGCAGGCCAAGCAACGTCAGAGGAGCAGGAAAGCTGACGTTTCGGGCCTAGACCCTTCTTCAGAAAAATGAGGGGCAATTCAAGAAGGGTCTAGACCTGAAACATCAGCTTTCCTGCTCCTCTGATGCTGCTTGGCCTGCTGTGTTCATCCAGCTCTACACCTTGTTATATCAGATTCTCCAGCATCGACAGTTCCTACTATCTCTGCCAGTTAAAATTGTTGCTCTCAGGGAGCTCAGTGCACTTGCTGTAGATCCTCTTTCATTGTAGTTTGCATTTACAGTAAACTGATCCTATGGAGTCATACAGCATGGAAACTGCACTTCAGTCCTACCAATCCATGTCTACTGTTATCCCAAACTAGTCTCAACTTGCCTGCGCATATTGCTACAAAGATTTCTTATTGACATACTTTTGTTTATTCATTCACGGGATGAGGGCATTGCTGGCTAGACAGCATTTACTGCTCATCCCTAATTGCCCAGAGGGCTGTTAAGAGTCAACCACATTGTGATGGGTCTAAAGTCACATGTAGGCCAGACCAGGTAAGGATGGCAGTTTCCTTCCCTCAAGGGCATTAGTGAACCAGATGGGCAATGATTCACCGTCATCATTACTTGATTAATTCCAGATACTTATTGAATTCAAATTCCACCATCTGCCGTGGTGGGATTCGAACCCAGGTCCCCAGAATGTTATCTGGATCTCTGAATTAACAGTCCAGCAATAATACCACTAGGCCATCGCCTCCTCCACTGTCTAAATGTATTTTAAACGTTTAACTGTACCCACATCCACCACTTTCTCAGGAGGTTCATTCCAAACACAAACCACACTCTGTACAAAAAAATTGCCCCTCACGTCTTTTTTAAAACTTTCTCCTGTCACCTTAAAAATATGCCCCCTAGTCTTGTAATCCCCCACCCTAGGGAAAAGACACCTGCCAATCATGTTACCTATATCCCTCATTATTTTATAAACCTCTATATTGTCACTTCTCAGCCTCCTGAGTTCCAGTGAAAAAAGTCGCTTATCTTCAAACTCTTCACAAATTATGAAAACTACCCAACATGATACTGTCATATGGATCCTGAAAATTAATCTAGATTACCACTACAAAAAGGAGAGGTTTTGTACTCGTGAGGTGCGTGTGGCAGGGTTCTTCAGCAATGACAGCGTTTACCAGCAGAATGGAAATATTTAGCTTCAACATTGTGCATTTACACTGTTTTCTATCTTTGACTGAGAAATGTCTTCAGATTCACTGGATTTTCGGCAGATCTTGTCAGTGAACATGAGCACGTATAAGCTAAAATGAATCGGATCAATATATGAACAATGATTCAATCAGCAAGCTTTTAAAGATTCCAATCATCCAAGATGCTGTTTGTGTTCAGAAGTACTTCCACCTTTTAATTCCTGTAGAGTCATTTCAGTCAGTGTTCAAACAATGGAATAAATTTTATTCTGAAAATATTAGCAATAAGAAGACCAGGAAATTTTAAGTAAATACTTCCACCGGTAACAAAAATATATAGCCACCTTTGTTATTGTGGAAATGTAAAATGCTTATTCAACTTTAACAAAATGTATACCAATAATTACAACTAAAACAAAACAAAGAACTGTGGATGCTGGAGATCTGAAACAAGCAAAAAACAGGAATTGCTGGAGAAACTTAGCAGGTCTCGCTGCACCTATGGAGAGAAAGCAGAGTCAACATTTTGAGTTCCAGTGACTGGATCAAAACAGTAACTGTTTTCTCTTCCCAAATGCTGCCAGACCTGCTGAGTTTCTCCAGCAATTTCTATTTTTTGCTTGTTTCAGATCTCCAGCATCCACAGTTCTTTGTTTCTATTTTTTGAACAAAAACAGAAGTTGCTGGAAAAGCTGAGCAGGTCTGGCAGCATCTGGGAAGAAAAAAATCAGAGTTAATGTTTCAGGTCCGGTGATCCTTCCTCAGAACTGTTCTGAAGAAGGGTCCCGACCCAAAACGTCAACTTTCCTGCTCCTCTGATGCTGCCTGGCTTGCTGTGTTCCTCCAGCTCCACGCTGTGTTATTTTGAGTCCAGTGACTGGATCAAAACATTAACTGTTTCCTCTTCTCAGATGCTGTCAGACCTGCTGAGCTTTTCCAGCAACGTCTGTTTTTGTTCCTGACTTACAGCATCCGCAGTTCTTTCGATTTTAATTTCTATTTTTTGCTTGTTTCATAATAACAAATTTTTTACAAATAGCATTTGAAGTTCCAAATAGATAATAGTTAAAATCCATTGAGACATTAAACGGGGGATCAAATGATTGATTTTGTAAAATATTATGTGGCAATGGTCACAAAGATGAAATTTTAGTGTGGATTGGAGAAAGGAGACTGACACTTATCAGAAGTTATTGAGATAGAGGGCACTGCTCCTAGACAGATCACACTGTAAGGGTAGGGATGAATACACTAACATCAAACTGAATTTACTGAAGGCCCAGAAAAATGACCGAGGGGTAGCTTGACTGCATCTCAGTAAATTGAGTCAGCGACTTAGCATTTTTAATTTTCATAAAAGTATTCACCAGCTACTTCTTCTGTGTAACAAGTATAACAACTTGGGTGGCTCCTTTTCAATGTACAATTTGAGGATGGAGTTGCTAATCAAATCTTAATTAATAAATTATCATTCATAGCTGTTCACTGATCATCCTATAGCATTTCACACTGGAATCATAATTCAAAAAGCAAAGACTGGCTTTGTTCTACATTAGACGTTTCCAAATCTTTTCAAACTTTCAGTTGTAGAATCTAAGGTGAGTGATAATTAAAGCAAGATGGGTGCAAAACAGCTACAGAAAATGTCAATAAATCTCGCCTCTGTATTTCAAACTTTTATTAGTTTGAAGCTTTAATCGATTCAGAATAAGGCCTGCTGTGGATTATCGTACAGTTTCTGTTAATCTAAGCATTGCATCAGAAAAAAAAGCATCAGCAAAGTTTACCTTTATGGTTTACATACAATGTTGCACGAATTTGCATGTGCAGAATAAACAAATAATACCTAACAGCTGGATTGTTGTGAATTGGTTCTGGGACTATTTGATCCCTTGGCGTACTTATCTGCGGAAGACTTATTCAGTTGTTGAAACAGTTTAGCAATCCCAGAGGTTTTAAAGTTTTTCTGGATTCTACGAGCAGCAAACGCGTACAGAATTGGGTTGATGCAGCTATTAGTGACCCCCAGAGCTCCAACCACATTCTCCAGCTTTTCACTGATATGCAGCAACATCTTGGAGGTTTCTGGGCTCGACCTCTTTGACAATGTTGAAGAGATCATTAACAGGTTTCTGATGTGATAGGGCAGCCAGCAAACTGCAAAAGCTATTGTGACCCTTATGGTCACTTTGACTGATTTTCTTCTGCCTTCAAAAGTCATTCTGTCAATTCTTTTTGCAACCAGCGCATTGCAGACAGACAATGTGAGAAACGGAATGGCAAAACCCACCAAAGTCTCAAACAGAAGGAGGCCTTTCTGTTGCTGATAACTGCCTTGCAGCTGTGAACAGTAGGGAGTTTCAGCTGGCGCTGCCCTGTATTCTGTAAGAACAGGAACGGCCAAGAGAAACGATGTAGACCAGATCACAGTGATCCCTTTCCTTATTGTACCACGTCTCCAACAATTCTGAGCAGTAAATGGGTACAGTACAGCCACTAGGCGCTCGACGCTTATCACCATAATGAAGAATACACTGGCGAACATGGTGCTGTGGACCAGATACAACAGAGCGGTGCAGAACGATGCTCCAAAAACCCAACTATCCGCGAAAGAATAAATCCAAAACGGCAAAGTGATGAGGACTGAGAAATCTGCAACGGCCAGGTTCAGTAGCAAAATGACGGTCGGGAACCGCTGTTTCATGTTGCAAAGAATAATCCAGATCACTAACACATTCCCAAACATGCCAATGAGAAATATGAGTGTAAAGACAACACAGATCACGACTTGATGCAAAGCCACAGAAGGTGATGTGGAGTTGGACATCTCCATTTAGGGAAGAACCTGAGCAGTCACGTTTATAACTTGCTGCGAGCTGGACTCAAATGTGTCTCAAACTATCTTAAAAAGCTGTGAATTGTACCCGGAATGAGAAATGTGTCAAAAAAATGTGAAACCCAACGCAATTGATTGTTCATTGACCACAGTTTCGAATCTCATTCGCAGTTATAAATAAAACCTGATGGCTCTCAGTGTTGCCATGACTAGATTTATCATCAGGTACTTCCTGCAAATGTAGGGCTTGTGTTTCTCCATCACCACTGCTCTCAAGGTCGATTCCCCGTTGTTCTTGTACAGCCTGCTTCAGTTTGGCCAGCACGTATGGTTTAGTGGGGGTAATTGAATCAGAGATAATAGGAACTGCAGATGCTGGAGAATCCGAGACAACAAGGAGTAGAGCTGGATGAACACAGCAGGCTAAGCAGCATCTCAGGAGCAGGAAGGCTGACGTTTCGGGCCTAGACCCTTCTTCAGAAATGGGGGAGGGGAAGGGGGTTCTGAAATAAATAGGGAGAGAGGGGGAGGCGGATAGAAGATGGATACAGGAGAGGATAGGTGGAGAGGAAACAAACAGGTCGAAGAGGCGGGGATGGAGCCAGTAAAGGGGAGTGTAGGTGGGGAGGGGATAGGTCAGTCCAGGGAGGACGGACAGGTCAAGGGGGCGGGATGAGGTTAGTAGGTTGGAGATGGGGGTGCGGCTTGAGCTGGGAGGAGGGGATAGGTGGGAGGAAGGACAGGTTAGGGAGGCAGGGACGAGCTGGGCTGGTTTTGGGATGCGGTAGGGGGAGGAGAGATTTTGAAGCTTGTGAAATCCACATTGATACCGTTGGGCTGCAGGGTTCCCAAGCGGAATATGAATTGCTGTTTCTGCAACCTTCGGGTGGCATCATTGTGGCACTGCAGGAGGCCCAGGATGGACATGTCATCTGAGGAATGGGAGGGGGAGTTGAAATGGTTCGCGACTGGGAGGTGCAGTTGTTTATTGCAAACCGAGCGTAGGTGTTCTGCAAAGCGGTCCCCGAGCCTCCGCTTGGTTTCCCCGATGTAGAGGAGGCCACAACGGGTACAGCGGATGCAGTATACCACATTGGCAGATGTGCAGGTGAACATCTGCTTGATGTTGAAAGTCTTCTTGGGGCGTCGGATGGGGGTGAGGGAGGAGGTATGGGGGCAGGTGTAGCATTTGTTGCGGTTGCAGGGAAAAGTGCCGGGTGTGGTGGGGCTGGAGGGGAGTGTGGAGCGGACAATGGAGTGGCTGGAGGGGAGTGTGGAGCGGACAAGTCTTTACCATGGACGTCCAGTCCCTCTACACCTGCATTCCCCATACATATGGCCTAAAGGCCCTCCGCTTCTTCCTGTCCCACAGGCCCGACCAGTCCCCCTCCACTGACACCCTCATCCGCTTAGCCAAACTCGTCCTCACCCTCAACTTCTCTTTCAATTCCTCCCACTTCCTACAGACAAAGGGGGTGACCCAAGCGATGCCTGCCTCTTTGTAGGTTACGTGGAACAATCCCTCTTCCGTACCTACACTGGCCCCAAACCCCACCTCTTCCTCCGTTACATTGATGACTGTATCGGCGCCGCCTCGTGCTTCCACGAGGAGCTCGAACAGTTCATCCACTTCACCAACACCTTCCACCCCTCAAGTTTACCTGGACCATCTCTAATACCTCTCTCTCCTTCCTGGACCTCTTTGTCTCCATCTCGGGAAACCACCGAGAAACCGATATTCATTTCAAGCCCACCGACTCCCACAGCTACCTAGAATACTCCTCCTCCCACCCACCTTCCTGCAAAAATGCCATCCCCTATTCCCAATTCCTTCACCTCTGCCGCATCTGCTCTCAGGATGAGGCATTCCACTCCCGTACATCTCAGTTGTCCTCGTTTTTCAAGGACCGTAACTTCCCCCCCTCAGTGGTCGAGAATGCCCTCAACCGTGTCTCCCACATCTCCCGCAACTCATCCCTCACACCCCGTCCACGCAATAAGAACCAAAAAAGAATCCCCCTCGTCCTCACGTACCACCCCACCAACCTCCGGATCCAACGCATCATCCTCCGACACTTCCGCCATCTGCAATCCGACCCCACCACCAAAGACATCTTTCCCTTCCCACCCTTATCTGCTTTCCGGAGGGACCACTCTCTCCGTGACTCCCTTGTCCGCTCCACACTCCCCTCCAGCCCCACCACACCCGGCACTTTTCCCTGCAACCGCAGGAAGTGCTACACCTGCCCCCATGCCTCCTCCCTCAACCCTATCCCAGGCCCCAAGAAGACTTTCCACATCAAGCAGATGTTCACCTGCACATCTGCCAATGTGGTATACTGCATCCACTGTACCCGTTGTGGCCTCCTCTACATCGGGGAAACCAAGCGGAGGCTCGGGGACCGCTTTGCAGAACACCTACGCTTGGTTCGCAATAAACAACTGCACCTCCCAGTCGCGAACCATTTCAACTCCCCCTCCCATTCCTCAGACGACATGTCCATACTGG